TGTCTTTAGGGCGCGGCGGAAGGAGGGGAGATCCGGGATCACCCGGATCTCTGGGGGTAGTTCGTTCCAGAGGGTGGGGGCTCCCACCGAGAAGGCCCTCCCCCTGGGGGTCGCCAGCCGGCACTGTCTGGCTGACGGCACCCTGAGGAGACCCACTCTGTGGGAGCGTACCGGCCGATGGGAGGTAACCTGCGGCAGGTTACCTGTGGAACCATCTTTGCCCCATTATATAATAATAATAATAACAACAACAACAACAATAACAAAACAATAATAACAATAATAAATAAATAAATAAATAAAAATAAATAAAAGTTGGAAGGGACATTGGAGATCATGTAGTCCAACCCCCTGCTCAGGCAGGAAATCCTATACCATTTCGGACAAAGGGCTGTCCAGTCTCTTCTTAAAAACTTCCAGTGTTGGAGCATTCACCGCTTCTGGAAGCAGATCGTTCCACTGATTAATTGTTCTAACTGTCAGGAAATTTAGAACAATTAATCAATGGAACAACCTGCCTCCAGAAGCTGTGAATGTTCCAACACTAGAAGTTTTTATCAATCATCTCACCCGGTCAGGCAGGGAAAGTATGTAGCAGACCTTGTCAGTTAAAGAACTCTGACTGGTGGAGTCTAGGAAGAGAACCTTTTCTGCTGTTGCCCTTGCCCTGTGGCATATTATTCTCCCAGAGGTGAGGCAGGTCCCCACTCTCCTGACCCTTCCAAAAAGGAATTAAAACATGGCTCTATGGCCACGCGTGGGGAGCCCAGAGGAGCACCCAACCACGGGGCTGGTTAGTCTTTTGAAAGCCCTCTCTTTGCCTTTTCACTAGTTTAATAGTTTTTAATCACTCGTGTGTATGTGTGTGCGTGTGTGTGTATGTGTGTGTATTTCAGAAATGTGAAAAATAAATAAATAAAATAAAAAACACTGGCCATGTGAAATACAAAATTATTCAGGGGCCAGACCGATCTATAAGGGGCCAGAGAAGGATTTTACAGTAGTTCTTTTGGTCATTACCACATACCACTTTGAATAAAAAAGTAATACTTCATGCTCATATAACAAGCTTTATTAGTACTCTGGCTAAAAAGGACAAATTGTAATGCTCTTCTGAAGGGAAGTACATTCCATGGTGTGGAAGTAACCAGCTGCCAATATAAAAAGTCTAAAATCAGACATTCAGCTTTGACACAGAATTTTCTAAATGGCTATATGAAGTCACTTTATACCCTGAGAGGCCAGAGTGGCATATTATTTTAATTGCTCTTTAGTTGTTTCCCAAATTTGTTGCATGGGAACACTTTAATAAGAGATGCACACGGCAGAAGGAGCTCAACCAGAAGGCAACTGCCTTTGCAGCATATGCTAAAACAAAGTTATGAATACACACAGACTCAGAAATTAGCAACTTTTTCTAACATAAAGTAAGCAGACTGAAAAAGCTGCAGAAATAATTCTGTTCAGAAATCAAATCATGATTTCCAAGACCTCAGCAGTGGACTGAATTTAATCCCAATGGTTGTAAAATAAATGCAACTGTATATCAAAAATGCCCAGTTAATGCATACCCAATCTTTTTAATGAATTGCATCTCACAATCAACCATACCAGGTTTCCTACAGATTACACAATTTACACAAGTAGCAGATACAAATACTAATGGTTGCATGTATAGACTGCGAGAAAGTTCACACATTAAGACTTGCTTAATCTGTTATTGAATAGATACTATCTGGCTGAGTTCACAACTTGCCATAGCAAACCACAGTAGAATTTACTCCACTTTTGTGTACCCAGTTAAATCTTGCAGGTTTGTCAACACTGAATAATATGGCTGGGTTTAGACAATGCATTTAATTTGGTGTTAGACCAACAATTTCTTTAACCTCCTTAGCTCGAAGGTTAATCTTATGAGGTTTTCTGTGGTATAGCATGTTGCAGAAAACCGTTGTGAAAGTTTGCAAGGGACACTGAGAAAAAAATGGGAAGAACAATCAACAAAAAGAATAGTTTATTAGTAGCTAATCTCATATTAGCTAAATATGAGCAAAAATTTAATAGCTAAATGGCAGCTTAATCTGGGATACAAGAAGCTCAAGAAAAGATTCAAAACTTAATGAGCACACTAACAAGAAAAGTCTGGAGATTCCTGAAATTTTGGAAAGGAGAACCCTTACCCTAATTTCTGTGTTAAAACTCCCAATGGATATCTATGGGATTCTTGCTTCCTTCACTATGCTCTGTGGGATGGGGACAGGTGCCCCACCTGTTTGAGAAAAGTTTGATTCAGTCCCTTGTACAAACCAAATACAATTCGGTCACCTGCTTCAGTGAGCTGCAATGGGTTCCTAGAATGGGTCTGTCAGGACTCACTAGTTTCAACAGAAGAGAATATCTATAGTTCAGGGTTGAACTGTGGAGATCTTAATGGCATCTGAACTGGACTATTGGCTTAGAGCAGTGTTTCTCAACCTTGACACTTTTAAGGCATGTGGACTTCAACTCCCAGAATTCCACAGCCAGCAATGCTGGCTGTGGAATTCTGGGAGTTGAAGTCCACATGCCTTAAAATTGTCAAGGTTGAGAAACACTGGCTTAGAGACATTTCATTACCCAGCCAGGTCATTTCATCAAACCAAATCCAAGAACGCCAGAGAATTCATGGAAGCTTGGCATTCAAACAGATCAGTCATCAGTAAGGAGATGCAACATTTACACACCCTTCAAAAGCACAGCGATCACGCATCCTTTATTATACACGACAGCCTCTTGTGTTTCATTTTGGTCTTTGAACTTTTACTTGGTACCACTTGAGTGCGAGGTCGGAATTAAGCACACCCTAGTTGGCAGTGCAACGTCTGCAAGCACACCACCCAGCTCAGGGAGCACCAAGGACTTCACACCCACTAGCCTCCCATCATCCCCAGCCAACCTGTCCAGAAGATCCCATGGACCGCTGCTCATCCCGTCCCAAAGACTCCCAGGCTGAGTTGGCAGTAAAAGAAGGGAGAGTCCAGGCAAAACTCAGTCCAGGCTTCCCCACAAGGAGGCAGATCCCCCACTCCGGCTCAAAGCAACCCCCCTCCCCGACCCTTCATCTCCAGCCCAGCCAGCCACCTGCTCCCTTCGCCGCTCATCTTCCTCCCCCTTCCTCTTCTTTTACCTGCAACAAGGGAAGGCAAACTACGCCTGAACTTCTACTCGTCCCCTAGCAGCCCAAGACGGCGCCAGCCCCGCTTCCCGCCTCCTGATCCAGCCAGCCGCGGTCAAGAGGGCGGCAGAGCCCCGGAGGTTGCACTTGCCGCCTTCCGCCTCTCCAAGCCCATTCCCATTTCCCCGGGGCTGCTCGCCAGGTCCACAGAGCCAGAGGTTGGCCTAGGCATCTGGGAGTTGTAGTCTCCTCCTCTGCGCACTCGCGCCACTCGGAGATGAGGTCTGAAGTTTCGGGAAACTACCCGTCCCAGAATGCAATGGAAAGCAACGGACGACTTTTCCATTTTCCATTTGGGTGTCCTACTCATTTGCCTGAACTGTTATCCTTTTGTAAGGAGGGAAATCTCTCTCACTGTACGGTGAAGTGTGATTTAAAAAAAAGTCACGGAAGCCTGATAGGAAAGGAACGAGAGTGAGGAACTTTTCTGTATTGATTGCGGGGAAATTAATTCGAATGCTTCTATCGGGCGTAGGGATCGGCAGCTAACTATTTGTAAGGTTCTCCTATCCGTGTACATTGTTGATTGGAGAAAAGAAGAAGAGGAGGGGCTTAGTCGAGATGAGTGAAGGGAGAGTAGGCGTGGCAAAGATGTGGAAGGCTGGTGGGTGGGGGAGGTAAGAAGTGTTTGCAGAGAAAATACTGTGTAGACCAGTGTTTCTCAACCTTGACAATTTTAAGGCATGTGGACTTCAACTCCCAGAATTCCACAGTCAGCAATGCTGGCTGTGGAATTCTGGGAGTTGAAGTCCACATGCCTTAAAATTGTCAAGGTTGAGAAACACTGGTGTAGACTGAGTAGTGAGTTGAACTTTCAAACCTAGGATGATTTGTTGTGAAAAAGCTGGCCTTTGTCTTAATAAGTTATATGAACGTGCATTTTACATTATTTCATCATTTGATTTTATATGATTTAGCATTTTATCGCTTAGCATTTATTGAGAACTCGAAGTGCCTTTAAGCATAACTCAGAAATTTTTGATTTAGACTTCCTTTTAATTCCTCTATTCACTCCATGATTGTGTTTCCTTGTGTACTTCACTTGGGCAGTGAGCTTATTCATTTTCTGCTATTGCAGAAGAATCATAATTGGATGGATTTTGTTGAAGATCATTACAAGTGATGCACCCACAAAAAAGTTGTAGCCATGTCTAACAGTGATTTTCGGTGACTCTGAGCCAGTAGCACTTTCTCAGGCAACCCACCTCACAGAGTTGTTGTGGGAAAATAGGAGTATTGGTATTGTGGGAAGTCAGCCCCTCCAGAGAAGGAAATATTAAAAGGGCAGCAAAATATATTTCCTCCAATGATCTTAAAGAGGCAGTAAAGCCCAGTTTTCTTAATAGCCCCAGGTCTCCCTTCCCCAAGCAGAAACCAGCTCTATAGAGATGCAGATGTAAATCCAAGGAGCTAGGAGATTAAGAAGACAAAGACCTAAAATCTACATACCCCATCCAAACTCTAAAAGTCATCAGCCCTAGCCCCAGGGAAGCAGGATATGACCTTTGGGACATAATAGGATTAACCTATCACCATCAGAATATCAGAAAAGCACACTCAGACTCAGGTCAAAGTTCATGCCACAGGAACAGGAAGCAACTGCAAACAAAAGGCTCCAGAGGGTATAAAAACTCACTCCCCACATGTGCTCAGCCCTTTTCTCTCCTCTTTCCTGCCAGAACCATCTTTCTGCCTGGCTCTTCAATAAACTGCAACCTTCTTTCTAAAGCAGTCGCCATGTTGTTCATCCCCGGCTTGGACTGAACCAGGATGAAGACATTATGTTCTCTGCTTTGAGATATATATATATACATAAAGGTGGGATAAAAATACGATTACAATAAAGTGAGAATATAACTGGAGGTTTGATTCGCATGAATTATTTTGTGTCATTTGCTTTAAATGTTTTGGGTTTTTGTAGATGGATATCTTATCTTACTCTGTTGCCTGATTACTTTCCAAAAATGAGAGGTTTCCAAAGAAAGGGCACATTGTATTTAAAAACACACAGATATAATGCCAAGGGAATGTTTTGTATGCCTTAAGGCAACCAGTTTAAATTTTCAGGAAGGGAAACTATTAAATCAGCTGCAGCCAAACCGATAAATAGTGACAAGGCACTAACTATTGTGGACTTTGATGCAAAGGCTATTGGAATGCTGACATTTAAGAGGTGAAATTCTAAAGGATTTTCATCTTCATTGCATTGTTGTTGTTAGTTGCGAAGTCGTGTCTGACCCATCGCGACCCCATGGACAACGTTCCTCCAGGCCGTCCTGTCCTCTACCATCTTCTGGAGTCCATTTAAGCTCACGCCTACTGCTTCAATGACTCCATCCAGCCACCTTATTCTCTGCCGTCCCCTTCTTCTATTGCCCTCAATCTTTCCCAGCATTAGGCTCTTCTCCAGTGAGCCCTTCCTTCTCATTAGGTGGCCAAAGTATTTGAGTTTCAACTTCAGGATCTGGCTTTCTAAAGAGCAGTCAGGGTTGATCTCCTCTAGGACTGATCTGTTTGATCGCCTTGCAGTCCAAGGGACTTGCATTGCATAATACAGCATAAATAACTGCATACAGGAGTTGGACACCTGTGTCCTGGAACACCTGCTACTCCCTAACCATTTTTAAACCTCTGGAGACTTTTACATATGTATTTATCTGTGTTGCAGAGATATGAGAATCTAAAATCGGCAGACAAAAGGATTTCTTCCCATTTTGAGATAGAAAGTAAACAAAAACTATAATTTTAAAAAAATTCCAAAAAAAAGATCTAGAACATTACTGCCCTTCCAAAGAACAATCATGATTGATCTCCTTTAGAATAAACTGATTTGATCTCCTCGCAGTCCAAGAAACACTCAAGAGTCTCCTCCAGCATCACAGTTCGAAAGCATCAAGTCTTCAGCACTCAGCCTTCCTTATGGTCCAACTCTCACAGCCACACATTACTATTGGTAACTGTTGATGGTTGATCCTAAACGGCAGAAGCTATTTACCACTTCAATATCTTCATTATCAGTTTTAGGGCTGGTTGTTGTACCGGCTGTGTTATTAGCTTAGTCTCATTCGTATTGAATATTAAACCCATTTTGCCACTGTATTTCTTGAATTTTATTACTAGAACTTGCAGATTCTTTGTTTTTTCGGCTATCAAGTTAGTGTTGTTGATGTTTGTTCAATTTTAAAACCATCTTAAGGTCATCACCACAGCTTCTGAAGGCAAGCCATTCCAATGATTGATTGTTCTAACTGTCAGAAAATTTCTCATTATTTCTAGGTTGCTTTTCTCCTTGATTAGTTTCCATCCATTGCTTCTTGTCCTGCCTTCAGGCGCTTTGGAGAATAACTTGACTCCCTCTTCTTTGTGGCAACCCCTGAGATATTGGAACACTGCTATCATGTCACCCATAGTCCTTCTTTTCATTAAACTAGACACACCCAATTCCCGTAACTGTTCTTCATATGTTTTAGCCTACATTTTAGCAGCGGTGGGATTCAAATATGTGAACAACCGGTTCTTTGTGTGGATGCCGCTTCTGGAAGTCCATTCTGGGCCTGGGCAACAAAAAATTGGCTACTGGTTCTGCCGAACTGGTGCAAACTGGCTGAATCCCACCACTGCATTTTAGCCAACCATTCTTCCTATGTTTTGATCTACACAAGCCACTGGAGGGTAGAGGAGAGTTCGGTGGATAAATGTAAACATGCAGCAACTGAAGTTCTAATTCCACTGTGGTCTTCATAGATCTGGACAGTTATTGCTGCCCATCTATCAGTAAGTAATGTTTATCTCCAGGCTATTTGCCTTCCCAAACACTGCTCGGTTTTGAACAGCCAGCAACTGCTTAGCGAAAAAAAGAAAAGAAAAAGGTTAACAGACAAGCTATACAAACACTACTTATTACATTTTGTAGCTGAGGTGAAGAGAGAAAGAGAAGAAGAAAAAAAGTGCCCATGATTACAGAGAGAACATTGATTGTAGAGAGCATTTTCATTTCTATCCCATTGTGCTGCCTTGGTAACTGCTGATAGAGGTGTATAAATCAAAGGCTAAAGGGACGATGGGAGCTCTTCTTTGCCTTGGTAAATTAAGATGGCCACATTTCTCCAGTTTCAGACAGTTCTTATGTCCTTCAAGCAGGATAAAAGTGTGTGTATGTGTGTATGTATGTGTGTGTGTTTTATTCATTATTTATTAAACTTAGAACACAATAGGGTTGGAAGGGACCTTGGAGATCTTCTAGTCCAGTGGTGACGAACCTATGGCACGCATGCCAGAGGCAGCACTCAGAGCCCTCTCTGTGGGCACGCGCACCATCCCCCAGAGATGGCAATCGTCCCTTTTCAACCAGCCGCCCGCTAATTCGCCGAGGTCCCACATGGCCAGATGCATCCCAGCACTCATGCACTCACTGGCCTCTGTGTGCAGCGACTGATGGTGTAAGGCAGCAGCCGCCCTGGCCCCTGCCTCACCTTGCCCTGCCTCACCTCCGCCCTGCCTTGCCTTGCCTCACCCAGCAGGACGAGCCTCCTGCCCATCGCCCCACATGCCAGAAACCCCCTGGATCTCCCCCAACCCTGCCCGGCCCCTACAGGCGTCCCTCTCTACGAGCAACACAGAGGTGATCACGCCTACCTTGGCCACACCCACCCAATCTATCATGACCACCACAGCCACGCCCACCCACTGGGCCACGCCCACCTGGCACTCGGCGATAAATAAGTGGGTTTTGGGTTGCAGTTTGGGCACTCAGTCTCTAAAAGGTTTGCCATCACTGTTCTAGTCCAACCTGCTACTTATGGCAGGAGATCCTATACTTTCCAGACAAATGGCAGTCCAGTCTCTTCTTACACCCTTCCTTTCTCAATCCAACACTTAAGATGATTTAATGCAGTTATTCCATATAATAATCCATTATATGCAGCTTTTATTATTGTTTTATTTAATTTTATTTAATTCCTAGGACACAGGGACACTAAAACTGAGCTAAAAATGAGCATGCAGAATGAGCCATCAGGTCAGGAAAACAAGAGGTAGAAATCTGGTCCCCATCAGCTTTTTTCCTGGGTTAAATGTCTATGGAGATTCTCAATCATTCAGGTTGTCCCAAAGGTGCTTTTC